CTTCCGCAAGTGGAGGCGGGAGAGAGCTGGGGGCAGGGGCGGTGGGAAGGCCGGGGGCCAGGACCCGGTGGCCCTCGAGGGGCGAGAAGCAGCGGGTCGGGTTCTGGGGAATGCTGGGGGTAGCCCCAGTGTGGTTCCTGGGGACTTGCTGCGGGCGTGAGAAAGGGAAGAGTCAAGGGTGCCTGCAAAATGTGGGGTCTGAACAACTAGAGAGGGGATGGGGTGAGTCACCGTGGTGGGGGGTTTGTGGGGAGAGGGGATAAAAGGCAGAAATTCGGCTCGGATCACATTGAATTTGAGATGTGTATTAGAAATCCCAGTGGATTATGGAAGAGGTGGTGATTATGCAAGAGTGGTGGGTGTTCAGAAGAGGTCTGGGCTGGAGCTAATAATATTTCAGGCCCCAATTGAGATCTGGGGGAGAGGCCCGGAAAGTGACCAGGGACAGGGCACAGGAGCGCAGCAAGGACAACGCCCTGGCACCGCCAACACTAAGAGGTTGAGGAGAGGAGGGGCCCACAAATGGTCTTGGGAAAGGGAGACCCACCCAGTGTAAGGAGGAAAACCAAGAGGGGAAAGTGAGGCAGGAACCACAAGAACGAAGGCAGGAGGGCCAGCCCCCCCACACAAACATTGCCAAGGGCTCGGGTCAGACAGGGACTGGGGCTTGGAGCCTAAGACTATTCCCAGTTGTATTCAAGAACTCATAGGAAATATTCCAGTCTAGGGGTTGGAGCCCAAGGCTGGATTCATGCGCTGATTGCCTTCCCCGGGCTGTGGACCTTCTTCCCCAGGATGTACCCCGGGGTCGAGTTCAACGCCCAGTGTGGTGGCAACAGAGACTCAAGGACGTGAATTTGCGTATTTTCTTCCAAGCGTCGAGCACAAAATACCCCGGGCCAAGGTCCGTCCCAGGGAGTTTGAAAAATAAAAACTCTACAGCCACCACTTTTCCCAAGCAGAAAGGCAGGCAAGTTCAAGAGCGAGCCACCGCATTGGTAAACAGAGGGCTGCCAGCCTGCAGGAGCAGATAAGGCAAGCTTGTTTCCATTCCATGGGGAAGATGTTACCGTCTGTGGCCTGTAATGTATGGATACATTGTTTTCTTTCAAAAGCAAACAAAAGAACTTTTCTTAAATGAAAATAATCTACAAACAGTGATAAAGGGAAAAAAAAAAAAAAGAACAAAGAAACATGTTACCCTCAAATTCTTCCTGAAGTTATAGCATGGGTCCATTTCTCCAGCGCCGGAATCCGACGTCTCCACCTAGGAGGGGAAAGTTCCTTAGCTTCTCTGGGTGTCCGTGGTCTCACTTGTAAACTGAGGACAATAGCACCTGTTGCCCACAGTTGCTTAAGAATTGAATGCGGCAACCTGTACGTCAGCCTGGTACATAGCACTGGTGAACTTCATCCCAGCGGTGATTCTCTGGCTTTAATCATCCTTCCCAAGAAGGTAACTCTCTACCAGGGGTCCCCTGCCCACCAGGAAGCCCCACAGTGTGAACTGGGGGGGGGATGCCAACTCTGAGGTCCCCACCCCGATGGACCCAGGTGTGCCCTCCCGCCCCTCCCAAGTGCCTCCCAGATTCGTGGAAGGAGCCCTCCCGGCGTCTTCTCCTCAACATGTCGGGACGAGGCTCTCTGCGGGCTCCCGGGAGGCGGGAGGAGCTGGCAGGAGCAGCGGGGGCTTGCTGTCCCAACCCCGAATCTGCGGCTTAAAACAAATAGTTGTGACGCATTGTGCACACAGCTCCACATCCTGCTCTCTCCGCCCGGGACGACACCCACGGGGCGACTTTCTTTGTCAGCGCTTTCTTGTCTGCTCCGGAGCTGGCCTCCACCCACCTGAGGAGGAGGAAAAGGGAGCAGCCCCAGCCTCCCCTGCAAAAGGCAAACAAGCCCCACCTTTGCAAACCCAGCCCGGCCCACCCCGAGCCTGGGCAGCCGGGGCAGAGACCGGGCTCCACCTGCCAGTCACCAGCCCCGGCCCCCTCGGGGTCTATGAAGGCGCTGTGCCCCACGGGGGCCACAGCCTGGCCCCGGGTGGCGAAAGTCAATGCTCCCAACCCAGAATGCAAATTAGTAGGGCTTCTGGTACGATTATTTAAAAGAGTCTAAAAATACGTTTGAACCTAAGTCACCATCAATAATAATTATTATTAATTAAGGAAATACGTGGTGACTAGCCCTTAAAATGTGTCAGCTGTCTGGGAGGTGACAGACGCGTGCTATCACGTAACTTCACAAGCATTGGATGGAGTGAGCTCTGTCTCCCATTCCACAGAAGGGGAAACCGAGGTGCGAAGAGACGGAACGGTTCGCTGGAGAGCACGCAGCTGGCAAGGTCTGAGTCCGGATTCACTCCTTAGTGTGGGACCAGGGCGATGCCCCTCCCAGTTAAGCCCTCCCTCGCCCCCACCCATCACACCCCAGCCCCACCCCCGCCCTGGCAAGACCACGGGGCTCTCTTCCTGCCCCTCCCCCTATTCTCACCCTACTCCCCCCTGCCCCGCCCCCAAAAGAGTTAATTGGAATACTCTGCAATCTTCTTTCTCGGATGTTTTGTGACTTTTGTCTTTTCACACGGCACCTCCTCTGTTTCAGGAATCCTGTCTTAACGATTGCATTCCATTTTTCAGTCACAGCATCAACAATTTGTTTAGATTCCATTTTGTTGTGCAGTCATATGCCACATAATGACATTTCAGTCAAACAACGGACCACATACATGACGGTGGTCCCATAAGATTATAAAGAGACTGAAAAATTCCTCTTGCCCAGTGAAGTTGTAGCCATAATAACGTCACCATGCTATGCGTCATTCCCGTGTTTGTGGTGTGCTGACGTAAACAAACCTACTATACCGCCAGTCCTGTAAAAGTCTAGCGTGTAGTTACGTGTAGTACCTAATACTTGATAATGATAATAATAAATGGCCATGTCACTGGTTTACATATTTATTAAATATTTTATCGTTATCTTAGAGTGTGATCCTTCTACTTAGAAAAGAAAATTAACTGGAAAGCAGCCTCAGCCATCTCTTTCAGGAGGTGTTCCAGAAGACAGCAATATTATCACAGCCCATGACAGCTCCACGTGTGTCATTTCCCTGGAGACCTTCCAGTGGGACAATATGCTGGGGTGGGCACGGCTACTGATGATCCCAACCTGTGTAGGCCTAGGCTAATGCATGTGTTTGCGTCACAGTTTTTAACAAAAAAGGTTTAAAACATAAAAATATACAAAATTTTTAAAAATCGAAAAAGCTTATACAATAAGGACACATAAAGAAAGAAAATATTTCTCTACAGCTATACAATGTATTTGTGTTTCAAGCTAAATGTTTCCACAAAAGAGTCAAAAAGTTTATAAAGTAAAGAAGTTACAGTAACCTAAGGTTAATGTATAATTAAAGTCTTTTGAATATCAATTTAGTGTAGCTTAAGTGTCCGGCGTTTATGAAGTCTGCAGTGATGGACCGCAATGTCCTAGACCTTCACATTCACTCACCACTCACTCACTAACTCACCCACAGCAACTTCTAGTCCTGCAAACTCCATTCATGGTAAGTGTCCTGTATAGGTGTACCATTTTTACATTTTATACTTTATTTTTACTGTATCTCTTCTATGCTTAGATGCACAAATACTTAGCATTGTGTCACAGCTGCCTACGGTGTTCAGCACAGTAACACGCTGTGCAGGTTTGTAGCCGGGGAGCCACCTAGCCTAGGCGTGTAAAGGCTATGCCATGTAGGTTCGTGTGCGTGCACTCAACGATGTTCACACAATGACAAAAATCGCCTAACAACACCTTTCTCAGAATGTACCCCATCATTAAGTGACACTTCACTGCACTTGTTTTTCCATTGTGTTATCAACAATGGTTTAGATTCAATTGTTTTACTCACATCATTTTTTTCTCAGATACTTCATATTCCTTTTTATGAACTCCTCCTTCTGGTTCATTTTTTTTTCACTGGGTTGAAGTAGTTCCTGAATAAGAACTTGTTCAGTAAGGGCACGCGGCAGCCGCGCCATTCTTTCCTCTGCTCCTTCCCTCAGGAAAGACAGTTGGGCTGGGTATCGAATTCTGGGACGCTCCTCTTTCCCTGGGATCTGTGGCTCTGCTGTCTGCTACCATCCAGTCTGCTGGAGAGACTCCCACTCCAGGTGCACGCAAAGTTTAAATAATTTCTCTTTATCTTTGGGATTTGAAAGTGTCTTTTAAAATAATTCCCCGAGCATCTGACAAGCATTTTTTATCCGGTATCTCCAGCTCAAGAAAATCTTCGTATTTCTTTGATGCTTATGTCACCTCCACCATTTCTGCTTTCTCTTCTTGGACTCCTGTGACATAGAGGTAAAGGTTTCCTGGATGTTCCTTCATCACGAAAAGCTCCTTTCATCATTCCAACCCTTCCTTGAATACACTGAGGCACTAATTCAGTGCATTAGAAGTTAGCTCAGTCCCTTCAGCCATTTACTGCCTCTACTGACTTATCCTTTTATTCTCAAAAAGTATGTTTTTATCTCTAGTGATTCTTTTTTGAGCTCCGATTGCTTTTTTTTTTTTAAGTAAAAGCTCTTTTTTCTTTTCTGATACAATAGCTTCTAGAATTTCCCTGAGTGAGTAAAGAACTAGTGAAATGATCTGTGAGGTTCTCTATGGCCCTCTCGGCTCGGCGGCCCCCTCTTGTGCTGGGTACTTCTCACTGTCCCCACATATTGATAAGTAACAGCTACGGTTGATGCATTTGGGCAGCTAGTGGGGGTGCTCTCTGCCACCATTTTAGTGGGAGTCTTTGGGAGGGAGCAGAGAGGATGGAGCTGGGGGCAGGAACGGCCGACACCCCCCACTCAGAGCGCGGTGCAGTGGGAGAACGGAGGCAGGCGGGTGGGGGCTGAGCTGGTGGCTGCCACTCTGAGCCGTGCTGGTGGCTGTGGGCGCTGTAGTCTGCCAAGGCTGGACAGTCCCCCGTGGGAGGCACTCTGCTGGAATTATTGAGGCTCTTTAATTAGCTCTCCCACAACTGCTCCGGGTTCACCCCCCGCCCTTCTGGCTTCTCTCCACTGGTGGGACCTGAGAGGGAAGAGGAGAGGGCAGGGCCATGAGTGGGCTTTTCACAGTGGCCTGGAGGCCTCGTCCTGTTTTATTATAGCATTCTAAAGTGAACCACAGTCCTGCCCTCTTCCCTTGGGGTCCTGCTGTCTGCCCAGGGCCCTGCCAGCCCAGATGCCCACATCACTTAGCAGGCAGCCGATGGGGGGTATCTGAGGTCAAATGCCACTACCAGCTGCTCCGTGTACAGGAGCAGCTGTACATCAGGCTGTGCCTGATGATTTGTCTGTTGAGCTCCTTTGCTGACCCCTCCTCCGGCCCCAACCCAGGAGACCCACGGTGACCTACTGCTCCCCGAGCTTGGTGGACGGTCAGCAAGGTTCCGTGGGGCCCTGTGAAAGATGAAACTGATCTGATTTAAACCAGGGCCAGCCAGGGCTTCTGAACCTCCCATGAGCACAAGACTCTCCTGGGAGCGTGTGAAAATGCAGATTCCCAGCCACCACCACCCCAGCCCAGTCTCACTTGCATTTTCTCCTGCCTTTTCTTTATTTTCCCCACTTCTCTCCCTGCCTCCTTCACTCTTTAACTTTTTTCTCCTATAGATCATAACTGCAGAAAAGACAAGCCCATTCTCTAAATGGTCCCTGTCAAGACTGACACTTTTGCAGGCACTGGCTTTAATGTGTCTTCCTCCAGACTTTTACCAGGGCAGAGAAAAGACTGAGACTGCTAGAAAATGATCAAAATAAACATAGCACATTAAAGAAGATGCTTGCGCCGCCAAAGGAGTCAGTCTGCGGCTGGCAGCACACTTGGGGTTTCACCACTCCACGACTCTTCTTTCCTGCTTGCGTCGGCATTGATATCAATTAATCATGACGATCCGGAAGTTGCTGCCAATTCCAAAAAGATGCTGAATGCTCTAAAGACGATTCCATTCTCTCACCTGCAGGGCCATCACCAAATGACTCCCGGTCTCTAAAGGAAGAAGTGGAAACTGTTCTTGGTGCAATGGGAACGGTGAACTCACGCTATCACAGATGGGAGTAAGGAGGGCGCTCGGACCAAGCCCAAGAAATGAGTAAGCAGGCAGGCAGGCAGGCAGTCCAGACAGGAACCCCGCAGGTCACAGGGACACACAGCCAAGGGGTCACAGGCTTAAAAGCCAAGGCAACATTCTCAGCAAAGGCAAACTGGTTGGTGTCTGCCACTGCATAACAAGCAGTCCTCCTACGTTGCCCAGTCTCACCAACTCTGATGATATTAAGCTACACACCTCAGCCAAAAGAACCATTCTTTTATGTACCAACAAGGAAAAAAAATGCCACCGTTAAACCATGATACTTTATTATCATTTAGCATTTTTGTTTTACAAGCATGAAGGGGGCTTTTGGCCCCATTTAGACATTCCTGTATAAACATAAAATATAAGTGAAATCGACTGTTAACTTATTCCTAAAA